CTTTTTTATTTTGACCGGAGCTCCTGCCGCCTCCTAGGCTTAGTCCTAAAGGATGCTCCGCATATTGCGCCTAGCGCCTCGCAACACTCATTTGACTGTTACCACAAGGCTAAATGTTCCCTGGATCAACTAGTGTCTATTGCTCCTCACATTCGTCGTATCACTCACGAGGGGTGTTTTGAGAGCGGGCGACAACAATACTGACCGATATAGCGGCATATGTATGTAACCTAGTGATAACACTTCAGTTCAGATAAAATGATGTTTGTTCAGTGTCAAACTCAAACCACCAACCTCACCAACTAAGACTTAACCATGTGACTATTACTTGGAGCAACGACCATCAATGGGTTCATCTTTTAAGGTATTGATCTCAAACCACTTACCCCTGTCGCTCGACGATCTATTGGCCTTCTTTCGTGTGAATGAAAACATGGACAGCTTGCCTTTCTTACTAGCAGAATCTCTTGAGCTTCCGCTCAAAGTTTCAGGGCTCTTTGAGTTCAATTCATTTGTTTCCTGATTGGGTTCCTTTTTGCTCGGTATAGCTATAACAAGTGGAGGTGGCGGTTCTTTAGGCGAACCCTTGGAAGTTCCACCAGATTGATCGACACTTTTTGATTCCGAATCCGTTGTTTTCTTGTCAGACTTCTCCTTGTTTCGCTTACATGAAAGGCATGATAAAGTGCTTTTTTTGCTCGAGTTTTTAGAACTCTTGCCTGATTTGGTACTTTTTGAAGACGATCCCTTTGACTTTTTGCTTTTCTTCATCTTTCGGCTCATTTTAGTTTTGCCAGCCTTTGCCCTCCTTGACAGTTTAGCTTTCTTGCTCTTCGCACTCCTTGACCATTTGCTCTTTTTGCTTCTCGCACTTCTTGATAGCTCTTTGTTTTTCTCCTTGGCTCTCTTCCAACGAAATTTGAAGCCTTTCTTTTCTTTTTCATCCAAACTCCTCTGACTCAAGCTTTTATCACTGGCCATTTTCCTGAGAATATAACTACTATGACTTCATTCCTTTTTATAAAGGGAAGTAGCACCTACCGCTTTCGAAGACTGGTTAGGTTGGATGCAATGTAGTCAATGATGTAAACTCTAAGAACAGCCCTGATATTGATATAAATCCTTTATTTATAGAAAACTTATCATCCTGCTGATCTTCTGAGGTTTCGTGAAAGGTATGCCAAGTGGATCAGTGGGCAGCGACGTGGGCGTAACCCTTAGCTGAGTTATACAAGTAAAAAGATGTTAGGCGCCTCCTTAGGGGGGTTGGGAACATTTAAAATAGGGCCGATGGTGGGTGACACTAGGGCTGAGCCCAGGAGAGGGGAGAAGCGCCAGGGAAAACACAAATTGCTCACATCCTCCCAGAATCCCTTCTGTGGCTAAGGCTTAGTCCCAAGCACAGTAATTGGCTCACTCAAATGTGTCTTGAATGTCCCGTGTTGTCTTGATTAGCCGGGCCAAAGTGACTTAAGCCTGGACACTTATTAAATATGTGCCTTACGGAGGTTGTAGTGCAATCTTTATTGGGGGATGGTATGGACGTTTCGACGGAATCGTCGTCTTCAGAGGCCGATAGTTCCACCGTTTGAGCGGGTTAGACCGCTACCATACGAGGCGTTGGTAAGTTAAAATTTTTTAACTCACTAACGGAGTAACTTGAAGTTAAAGCAACAATCCCAGGACGAATTTCGAGGTACATTTTACCGTTGTAATGTAGATGCAACAATTTGAGGATATTAATGGAAACAAGAAACGCCGAATAGGGCGTACAGAACTAGACAAGCGCAGTGCCTGAGAGTTGTCGCGACCTAACTTACAAGGGAAGGATGGTAGGTCGAAGTGGCCGTTTGAAATGAAATGTATACCTCCTGATGCGACTCCAGACGCTGATTCCAAATCTGCCTTCCAAATCTGCTAAACGACTCTCCGAACGGAGTTATGAAGCGTAAGCTCAGTGGTGATGGTCCGGGGTGGCAGGTAAAAGCTCGTAGGATCGGTTCCTTTGCAAGTTTGTTGCTTTGCTTTTGTCCGCAACACTTCTAGAGACAAAAGCAAAGCAACCAATTTGCAAAGGAACCGATCCTACGAGCTTTTACCTGCCACCCATCACCACTGAGCTATTACGCTTCATAACTCCGTTCGGAGAGTCGTTTAGCAGATTTGGAAGGCAGATTTGGAATCAGCGTCTGGAGACGCATCAGGTGGTATACATCTCATTTTATACGGCCACTTCGACCTACCATCCTTCCCTGTTAGCTAACTTAGATCAGAATCAAGCAATTGTGAAATTGTCATATCAGCAACTCAGGCACGACACGACGTATTCTCTAGCTCATTCACTAACAGTTCGATCACCCCTCAAACTACTGCAATTCGACCCTTCCATTTAGCTGGGAGACCCTTCCATTTAGCTGGGGAAGCCTTGATTCCGCTAATAACTGACTGACTTGGTAGCCATTACAACAGATTACAACATTACATACACCACATAACGTATAACAACATTAGAACAACAAAGAAGAAGCAATTCTACTGCAACCCGTAGGGACATCCATTGATTAGGTTGTAAGACGGTTCAAATAGCCCCTTTGGTTTTCCAAAACGAGCCAATGCGCCCGAGCATTACGGCTGGCGGTGGGGCTCTGGGTCCGAATCTCCACCAGCCATTTTCGAGGATTTCACGCCTCTTTGGGCTATTCCAGGTGGTTTTCCTTTAAAAGCTTCTTCAGGGACGATGATAACTTCTTAATTCAAATGTAGTGTCGAGATTACTCAGGCAAAGTCAGTTTAGTATAATGGTCGAGCGTTTAACGTATAGTTCTTGATTACTACAGTTAGATCATAACAAAAAAACCATTTTGAATTGAAGTTAGACAGTTAACTTGTAAGCCTAACTCCTAACTAATCAGAGAAAAAAAATACTGTGGGGTTGAGGAGACGCAGAGGCCACGTTGATCCTTCACTAAAAAGTACTCCGAAGCACTTTTCACTGGAGGGTCATACGTGTCAGACGTGGTGACTGCGCCTCCTCAATCCCGTGCTCTTTTTTCTTCTCTGACCAGCTCAACCTGTTAGGAATCAAAGAATGCAGCTGCGATCCATAATCTTCAGGTACTTTTGCAACCTTTTTTTTTCTTATTTATTCGTTTCCTGATATTTTGTGCGGCTGAAGTCGTAGGAGCTTTGCTTGATCTGGGTGGTCGCCTCTTTCTTCTATTCTTTTGCTCTAGAATCTCGATCGATTTCTCAGATTGCGGTTAAGGGTACTTTGCTCCGTCGCCAGATGTTTTCAGAAGGTCCAGTGCCAATAGTATGGAAAGAAAGCAGGACACGCTGGGGACTGTTGCTTGATCTTTAAAATTACTAAGCTCTCGTTATGTGCTGTTTAACTCTCTAAACGGTGGTACACTATCGGCCTCTGGAGGACGGACGATCCGTCGAAGAGTTTGGGCCTTTGAATAAAGAGTTCCACGACACCTCGTAAGCAGAATACTTACTCACAACTGTATGCCGAGAGTGCAGAAGGAGAAGCTGGAGATTTTCTTGCTGAACGACAGTTTGCATCCCGTTTCCAAAAACTACGGAGCGAGGATGACTGATTGATCTGCGCTTAAGAGAGGATGATCGTCCACATTTGAAGACGGCTAGGGGTGGATTCCCTTCTCAGGCTAGTGACAGAGAAGTTATCTCACAGGTTGGCGGTAATTTGGTTGATATGCTTAGCGAAAAACCTCAATAGACCAAACGTGTAACCTGAAGGGACCAGAGCTTAATGGAGGCAGGTACGTTTGTGTACAAAGAAGTGGAACTACTCGCTACAAAACCACGGTGAAGTGGTCGAATCCAGATGCGCTTGCATCCCGAAGCGCTCTATAGGAAGAAGTCATTGCGAATTCCTCAATTTTGACATTCATGTGATTATGCCGTCCTTCCCGTTCATCGTTCCAGAATTTCGGTACTTTGTGAGGACGAATCCTATACAGTTCACGCTCCATAAAGCAACAGTCAGCGGAGGGCAAAACAAACCGAAAACCTAGCGTGGTCGGAAACGGCTGGCAATCCCCTCGGCCGATTCACTTCGGAGCTGTTCAGCCCCTAGTCAAGAACGTAAGAAGTGTGACTGAACAAAAACTCACCTAGGAAAGCCGCTAGGGAGGGAGCTGAAGTGGGCGTGGTCGAAATCGGCCGAGTGGGATTGCAGCCGTTTCGGACCGCGCCACCTGACTAGGGAGTGGTTGCGTGTTACACTGAATGTTCAGACCGGAACATCTGAACCCAGTTCACCGCCAAATGTCCTCAAAACTCTGGTTCTTCCCGCGCTACCTATCGCCATGAAAGGTACCTACACCGTGGAAACCTGGCCTGTATTGTTGTACAATACGTAATGTGTATCGAAAGTGGCAATCATCACCCGGCCTCTGCTGTTGTTCAGTATTTCGATCTTTTCACTCGAGTTCGTCTCAACAGGATCGACTTATGAGCGAATGCAGGACAGCAACAATTTGGCTGCAGTAAGCAGGGTTCCAAAAAATTTCATTCGAAAAAAAGCAACACTACTCATGGGAGAACCTAATAGATTTCAGCGATAAAGACAGGTTTTTGCGATGCGCAAATTCAGAAAGTTTCGTGTATGCGGAACCTGCCTACGATCCTGATGAAATGCACCCCATTTTTCATGTTCTAGTTTTAGAGCAAAAGCTCTGTTCACAGGGACGTTCCTGTTTCTTATGACTTTACCTAGAGTATTAGAGTAGCCTCAAAATCTTCCAAATCAAGAACTACAGGGACCAGAAAAATAATCGCCTTCACATTTTAATTGGAAATTCATTATACCTTTACTGACTCCAAAACTTAAGATCATCAGGCTGAAAATCAAACAGAGTCTTAATCTGTACCAGAAAAAAAAAACTTCATATAACAACAGACAACCGACGTCATAGAAAATTTTTCGCGAGTATGAGAGAACAGGTTCGACGAGCGCTGAAGGAGCCTGATTATGACCTAATAACCTGAAATGTGGCCAGAGAGGGTCCTCCACCATCGAGCTAGCTGTCACTGGAAGCTATCCATCAGTTTTTAATTAATTTGAAGAAATTGTGTACAGCTTCAAGATGGAGCGAACGGGGATAGCCAAAGACGGTGAGGTCTGCTTCCGCTTGGAGAACACCTAAGGGATATTTTGCCGCGAAACTTCTACCAACGTCGGCTCTCTGTGCGACGAAGTTTGGTGATATGCGCCATGAGCGAAACGAAACCTTTTGGGTACCCGACAGGAGGCCCGTCGCGCGGCAAGAAGGCAGAGTCAGCGGACGAGTCGCAGCGCGTACTGTAGTGATTTCGCGTCAAGTTAAATAGAATGTACCACTGCACGTCCTACATCGCACAGCACGCGCTGCGACTCGTCCGCTGACTCTGCCTTCTTGCCGCGCGACGGGCCTCCTGTCAGGTACCCAAATTTTTTCGCTCCTTCCGTATAGAGTCACCATGAACTCGAACGTAACGATTCTCTTACTTTTGCATCACAAAATATACAGCGAATCTTTATCTTCGTGTACGTTGTACATTCAGCTCTTGATAAAATCAAGTTATCAACAACGATTATTGCAATCCAAGTGATTCTGATTGCAGTGATATAATCTATATGTAAATAAAGAAGGCATTCAAAATACATCTGCTGAAAAAGAACTGTGAAAAAGCAGCAATCTGAAAAGACAATATGAAAAACTCTGGGGTATGGGATCGATCGCAAAAGGACTGGGGGCGTGAACTAGTGAAACCAGAATAGTACAAGCTAGATAGATGATCTGTTGAACGAACTTATTAACATTTTAACAAATAAGAGCAACGAGATTAAGGTTCGCTCCGCGTGGAGCGTACACGTTCAACGTCATTAGACAGATGAGCTTCATGCAGATAAGGACATTCCCACTGAGGTAGGTCGCTCCAGCGCACAGACAAACCATACGCATAGCCTCAGACACGACCGAGTATGGAGCACAGAGTGGTCGGAGCTTTGGCAGTGCGGCGAAAGGCCATGGGCAAAGGCTGGCGTTCCTCAGTGAGATGGCTTTTTGTGAAATCAACTGTTCAAGACACTACCTAGCAGGTATTAAGGAGGCGAATGAGCGATGAGAAGAAGAATAGAGCTATGCGCGCTGGAAGCGCCTTGTTAGATAGTCATTTTCGATATGACACGCACCAAAGCGCCGTTTTCTTCTTTTAAGCGTTGATTCTCCATGCGAAGCTGGCTCATACCCTGGAATTCACGATAGTTAATCACCACAGCTATTTGCTCCTCGAACACTGACACAGCAAGCCACAATCGACCCAACAAGACACCTTATTTGATAAGCATCCTTGTTGAACGAAGAAGCACAATGGGCGACAACTATATGAAGGTAGCGATGACCATGTTTGCAGTGAGTATTGCATTTGACAAAAAAGCACAAGCGACATAGCGCAAGAGGAACGTTGCAGCCTGATATTTGATACAGAGCCTTCTGGAGCCCGATTGAACATTTAAACAAGGTATTATACATGTACTTTTGCCCACACAGAAATTTGCGAGTTTCGAAAAACTCCTTTGCCCATTCATGAGTAGCGATCCAACAGTTAGCGTTTCCACCTCGCTAAATTTTCCCTCTGAAGTTTCTGCGGTAATTCCTCGCTTAAAAACAATTCTGTTTAGATGTGGTTCGGATGCCTTGGCAGAGTGGCGCGTTCAGAGCTCGAAAAAAATTTAATTTTCCTTGCGTGGCTCAAGAGATGCAAAAATACGTGAGAGTTCGAATGAAAGAATTTTGGTGCTGGTTGGCTGCCAGTTGCTGCTTATATTCAGCAACATGAATAGGCTCTAAAGGTAGCTTTCTGCCAGTAACGGCGAAAAATTTGACTAAAATATTAATGTTAAGGCAATAATTCGTCATGAAAGCTCGGCGTCGCCTTCTAGCAAGAAAATCGTGTATTTGATGTCATTGCGAAAAAAATGGAAGAGAGACGGCGGAAAGTAGTTACCGCATATGCGGTTTGAAGTGAAATACGATGAAATTCTGTACATATTTACGGTGAAACTCCAGTTCGGAGGGGCCACTCCATTGTTTCTCCAAACTTGAGATAAGAACGAGAGCGCTTATGACACGTAATCGACTCGTAAGCATATTTTCTGAGTACGATCGATACACGGAAGATACGCCTAAGATGCCTTCGCATTTTCGCCTAGCAATGGTCCCAAGGGATTGGTGCTGAACCAAGAAAAGTCCAAGGGAACGGTCCTGGACCAGGAGAATGGACACCTCTGCCTAGGCTAAGGGTGCAGGAGCTCCAGGGTGGATCACCTGTGCAGAAAAGTGGATGGGATGTGGGCAGGTAGTGTGGAATGTAGGACATCCACCGGTCCTTATCAAAAGTACGCTCGAAATGAGTCGTTCACTTATTATCTTATCCGTAGTGTTCGATAGCCCAAAGAACTGCTCTCTAGTACTACGGATAAGATAGCAATGGAGTGCCCCCCCCCCCGAACTGGAGTTTCACCACATTTACACTGCATCATAATTACCAAATGCTCTGTAACCGTAGAGTCGATCCCGACAACAAATCGAGTTCCTCAGAACGTCTTTCTTTTCATATCTCCCCAGCAGTAACCTCTTCCAAAAACTTTTCACAAAACAAAGACGAATTTCGGAAATATGGGGCAGCAACCCCTTGAATTCTTATTCAATTTTGCCTTTGTTACTGTGTTGAGGATAGAAAGTATACTCAAAATGGATTTTCGCCTATGTCAATACTATCATCTCGAGGATGCCCCCTAGACCTTGTAGACTTCAAAATGAAAAAGCGGACTGCTCGTCTGAGAACACAGATTTTATTCCAAACCACCGCGAAAAGAAACGGTTACACAAGGCAATTTCGCCCTACTGACCAGTTTCAAAACTGTTTTTGGCATGCAAATGGGAGAAGTCCTAGAATTTTTCTGCTACGTTTAATATTTTTAGAATTGAGGCCTGGTGCACGCCACTAGTGGAGCGGAACTAAAGCATCTGCAAGCTCTAACCCGTGCCGGATTGGAGCAGTCTTGCTTCCGGTGCTATGATGCGAAGTAGACAAATGTATCTTCTTCAGGCATCAGTTCGAATGGACAAAAATTTCCTTATTACCGTGAAATTCTAACACCTCTCCTTTTACCACACCAATTCCCTTTCCTTATTTTCCTTAATATTTTCTTCGGAAACCACTCATGCAAATAATAGGAAGGCATAAGTCGCACTACCGCCCTGCACTTTCCACTTCCAACCTCACATTGGACCA